TTCCACAAATCTAGCCTCGCCCGCTTCTGCGATCACCGTGCGCTTCTATGGCTTAGCACCTGCAGCTAATCCCTCGCAAGTGCGATTACATGAGAACTCCCAAACTTCAGCAATCTTTCAAAGTCCAAAAATGATTCGATCTCAACCCGAAACATACTCGAGGCCCCCAATACCCCATCCAAACATACCAACAAGTCCTAAAACACAATACAAACCTACTTGAAGCCTCATATCACATTAAACAATATCAAAATCATGAATCACACCCCAATCCATGTCTAATAAAACTAATGGACTTCCAACTTCTAAAACTCATGCCGAAACACATCGAACTAACCCGGAATGACGTCAAATTTTGTACACAAGTCCCAAATGACACAACGGTCATATTCCAACTATCGAAACCAAAATTCAAACCTGATATTCATAAAGTCAACTCTTGGTCAAATTTATCAACCTTCTAAACCTTCAACTTTCCAACTTTCGCCAAAAAGCATCAAATCAACATACAGAACTTGAAATCCAAATACGGACATATGTCTAAGTCCAAAATCACCATACGAAGCTGTTGGAATCATCAAAATACCATTTTGGAGTTGTCTACACAAAAATCAAAGTCCGACAAACTCTTTCAACTTAAGCTTTCAACCTTGGGACCAAGTGTCCCAATTCACTCCGAAATTTCTCCTAAACCAATCCAACCACTTTGACAAGTCACATAACCACAAATGAACATAAAAGAGGCAATATATAGGAGAACGTGTTACAATATACAAAACGACCAACCAGGTTGTTGTAACGTGTTTGACTAGTTTTGGTAAGTCTATGATTAATGGTTAGAGATTGGTAAATTTGGGCTTATTTTGAACATTTTCGTAAGATTCTCTTTTAAAAAATTAATGATAGATTAACGGAAAAGTTACACAACACATCAAACATATATACTCTATTAACCATTCGTAGCTATACTTTCAATAAATTTACCATTCATAATTGTATTTGAATTTAATAGAAAATCCATAAAATAATAGATTAATTATTTTGAACAGAAACAAGAGAGCAACAAGCTCTCGTAGCTCAATTGGTTAAAGCGCCCACTTAGTTAAAGAGGTCTTGAGTTTGACTCTCAACAAGAACATTTTATTTTTCTGTTTTTCTATATTTCGTCTTAGTTATATTCGTTAATGAATATAGCCGATACAGGTTGTATCCTTTGTATACACCCTTGTATACAGTCGATACATGTTGTATCCTTTATATATATCAGTCGATACAGGTTGTATCCTTTGTATACACCCTTGTATTTTTGCCTTGGTTATAGTTGATACATGTTGTATTCGTTGTGCAAGCGAATATAATTGCGCAAATGAATACAGTTGATACAGGTTGTATTCATTGTGCGAGTGAAAACAATTGACACAGGCTGTATTTGTTGTGCGTTTGAATACAAGTGATACGAGCTGGTAATAATTGAACTGTAACTACGAACGGTAATTAAGCAAACTATAATTACTAGGCTCTAAACTACAGTGTTTTATGAATATTCCTCTAGATTAAATAATAGTGTACACATATGTCAATAAGCTAAATAACACTGTTCAAATAGGACATGCCATAAATTTTTGACGGTCATACAGTCATCTCCAAAGCCCAAAACTAGAAAGGTATTATGTATTGGACCTAAGTGGGTCATATGGCTAAAAAAGGGGATTTGCATCTATACTCGCTTTTCGGGTCACGTTTTAACTTGTGCCCGCTTTGCAAAAAAATTTGCAAGTGTACCCACTTTTTCGTGTAACTTCAGCATACAGGGCTGAAGTAGCAAAAGTAATCACGCAAAACTTCAGCATTCTAGTAGACGGGCCTGAAGTAGCAAGTGTGCTGAAATTTTTATTTGTAATTGCTGAACTTAAGCATAGTAGCTGAAGTTTTGTTCTCTATTTGCTGAAGTTTTTGTTTGTAATTATTGAACTTAATCATAGTAGTTGAAGTTTTATTCTCTATTTGCTGAAGTTTTTGTTTGTAATTATTGAACTTAATCATAGTAGTTGAAGTTTTATTCTCTATTTGCTGAAGTTTTTTTTTGTAATTGCACTAAATAAGCTGAAGTTTTTTGTCCTGGATTCATTAGTTTTGTCATTAAGCTTTTTCAAAAACTTCAGCAGAAGATGTTGAAGTTATTTAGTTTATTTATAAAAACTTCAGCACTAAATAAGCTGAAGCTTTTTTTTAGTCCTGGATAAGCTTTTTCAAAAACTTCAACAGAAGATGCTGAAGTTATTTAGTTCATTTGTAAAAACTTCGGCACTAAAAGCTAAAAAAAATTTGTCCTGGATTTATTAGTTTTATCATAAAGCTTTTTTCAAAAATTTCAGCAGAAGATGTTGAAGTTATTTAGTTCATTGTAAAAACTTCAGCACTATATAAGCTGGAGTTTTTGAAAAAACTTTCTAACATACTAGATAAATAATCAGATTGCCAACAGTATCTAAATCATAAATCTTGGAAACAATAAATGTGAAAAGAACATAATTATCATTGTCTACTAACTTACGTACGTGGAAATATTCACAAATTATTGTCTACTAACTTACGTAATTATTTATAATTTATTTTTAAATAATATGATAAACATATTTATGGCAATCATCCCATGAACTAAAGTTTCATAGCAGCATCAACAACAACAGAAGAAAGAAGAAGAAAAAGAAAACGAAGGAGGAGGAAAAAGGGGGCCAGAGTTGTTTAAAACATGGGTACAAGTTAAAAAATTTTTAAAAAATAGGTATAGGTTAAATGGGGGCGACCGTGCAATTTTTACCACTATTAATGCATTTGACGGTCATACAGTCATCTCCAAAGCCTAAAACCCGAAAGGTATTGTGTATTGGACCTAGGTGGGTCATATGTATGGTTAAAAAAAGGGATTTTTACCTATCTATACCATATATGAAACCTTATTACCCTCAATGTTTAAGGTTTGTGTTTATTACATTTAAGCATACCAAATTACCATTTCTATACCATAATTCAAATTATGGGCATAATTAATGCTTTATTTATATTAGGCGTTAATTTAGGAGCGTATATTCTCCCATTTTCGTTTACCCGCCTCTCTCTCCTCCCACCCCCATACCTCCCACGTTTCTCTCTCCCCTGGACTCGACGACCTCAAACGGATTTAACGGAATTCAAATCTGACTGAAACGCCTCTGTTTTTCGAAGAAGAAAGGGTTCGTTTGATTTTTGTTTTCAGGTGGGAACGACTGTTATCTTGGGAGCTAGGGTGGTTTTTGATTTTTCTCCTTCTGGTTTTCACTTTGAGTTCATCCATAGAGAGAGATCTGAAGATTTCCAACTTTCCCTTCTGATTTTGTTCGTTCATATAAAAACAGAAACAATTTATTCGTAAGATCTGACGAGCGTCGTTTTCCCCCTCCCATTTCTTTCTCTTCTACATTCTTTCTTCTTCTCAAAAAATATAGAGAAAGGTTGGTTTATTTGTCATAAAACAACATGGGCGATATGTTAGTGTCGATCCAATTAATGAAAAAAGACGTGATACTAAATCACTTCTAAACTTCTTCTCATATTTCTTGATTGGAATGATATGAATTGCTTTTTTGGCAGCTTTTATTTGTAGTTTTTTGTAGAAATTTTGTAGATGAAGAGCCAATTGTAGAAATGTGACATCCACAATTAATCTGCAAATTGTCTGCAAAATTTTACAAAAACTACAAATTAACTACATTTAACCTACATTATAACTACAATCTGGAAACAATTTACACATGAAAGTTCTTCAAGTTGGAATTGGCCACAACTACATTTCTTGTTTTCTTGAAAGAAATTTTGTAGTTTTTTTTAAAGAAATTTTGTAGTCAATATTTTTTTTCAACATAGATTGTAGTTTAATTGTAGTATAAATGTAGTAATTTTGTAGATATCCTTAAAAACAATACAGCTTTATACGATACTAAAACTGATTTGTAGGAATTTCGTAGATGAATAGAAATTTTGTAGTCAACATAGATCGTAGTTTAATTGTAGTATAAATGTAGTAATTTTATAGATACCCTTAAAAACAATACTGCTTTATACATACTTAAACTAATTTATAGTTTATTTGTAGATAAATGTAGGAATTTTGTAGATATTAACATAAAATCAGACTTCATCTTCTCTTCCTTCTTCTTCACAAAAAATACAGAGAAAATTTTGTAGTCAATATTGTTTTTCAACATAAATTATAGTTTAATTGTAGTATAAATGTAGTAACTTTATAGATACCCTTAAAATCAATACAACTTTATACAATACTTAAACTGATTTGTAGTTTATTTGTAAAAATTTTGTAGATAAGGATTTGTACTGAAAAGAACTATTTTATACAATTATTAAGGATAACACGTCACTACAATTGTGTGTTATATACGTTAATGCATTTATATGGCCATTATGAAGTTTCCATTTTGGTCCTTTACAATATATTATTTTATTCATCCGTAACTGAAGAATAATGACCGAATTAAGACTTTAGTGACTGGATTACCTTTAAAGTTTTTTTTTATTTTAGGAATTTTTACCTTCCTATATCACATAAGGAAACAAATATGATGTGAATATGAAAATATATTTAGTCCCAAATTTTTAGGCGCCTAATTTGGAAGGAATAAGCTATTCAAATATTTATCCCAGATTTGTAGGCGCCTAATTTGGAAGGAATCAGCTCTTAATATTGGGTATTTAATGAATGGTATAAATTTTGTAGGAAAAATATAAATATGGTAGGTAATAATGAAAATATACACATTTTTAGTAATAAGGTTTCAGATATGGTATAGATAGGTAAAAATCCCTAAAAGAAAAACACAAAACCCATAACGTAACGAGAGAGAACAAGTTGGACCGGCTAAACTGGCCCAAAAATGTCTCAGCCCAATTTTAAGAACGCAGGTGTAATTCCCAGGTAAAATGAAGGACAATATAACTTTCTTTTTACTCGCTTTAGGGTTTTTCCTCTTCATCTTCTTGTTCACTCGCAAGCTCCTGTAAGTCCCCTCCTTAAACCATTCTAATCCCCCTCGAGAAAAGAAAAGAAGAGTAAAAATGGAAGCAGCTGCAGTTGTAGTAGAAAGCCAAAATCAGCAAGAAAAGGCTCACACTGATGTTATGCTATTCAATCGTTGGTCCTACGACGACGTTCAGGTTTCAATTTTGCCTCATTCCCCTTTATTTTATTCCTTTTGAATTGATTACTTCCTATTTTATTTGCATTATTTTGTTTGCTTTGTTTATATTTTTGTTATTTACCTAAGATTTATGTTGGGGAGAGCCTTTTTGTTTTTTATTATTAGTGTGGCTTTTGAATCGTAACCGTTTAATAATAATTCCATTTTCTCAAATAGGAAAAGATCTCTGCTTGATTTGTCCAATTTGGGTTAGCAGGTTAAAGGAAATTATGGCTATTATAGTAGCTTTGGTACTAATACAGTTGTATTAACATCAAAATTTTATTTTTAAATATAATTTCATTTTTATGATACTTGTTTTTGTTGGAATGTACCATTAGTGTTAGATGATTTTTCTTCTAATGAGAAGAATCTCAGCTTGTTGTCAGGGGCATGGCTAGCTGTTGGCCAGGGGGATCAATTGAATCTCCTTTACCGGAAAAGGGAAAAAATGTTTTTTTTTTTGTTTTTAATATAAGCAGTTGAATCTCCTTGACACAATGAAAGATTCTAGTGTTGTGGAAAATGGGGTTAAAAAATTGCTTCATGTCACACGTTCAAATTCTAGTATTCTCTTAATACCCTTATCTGTATTCTTGGCTCTGCCACTGCTTGTCGTCAAGTTTGTTTTCAAATTAAGGAAAATATATTTTTTATGGATTGGTGAAATTGAGGAAAATATTGCTGACCTTTCTGTTTTATCTTCGTTAACTGCGGTTCATTACTAGAATGAAGGGCGACCTCGTCCTAGAAGATAGTAAAACTACTCATTTTTGCTAATTCTAGTGATTGTGTAAAGTTTTTTTTACCTACTATTATGTTCAAAATAAAGTGCTTGATGTTATTGTGTACAGTTCTTCCCTACTATTATGTTCATAGAATTGGGTAAAAATTGGCCCTTTACGAAACCTGAAGGATCAATAAAGAATAGAAATTGTTGGTTGCAGCTTTAGAAAAAAAATTCCAATAGTTAAATGCTAATGGTAGCATAGGAGAGAGAATTTATAAATCCCCAAGTCCAATATGTTGATTAAGAAACTTGAAACACTATGAAACATAAATTCTTAGGTGTATCTATCATATATATTTCTTGTTTCCTTGATCTTTTCCATTTAAAGAGATGCCCGCTAAACACACTCAAATTGGGCAGAATATTGTTGGTTCCACCAATCAGTAACATGCTGACAGCCTCACACAAGGTGTACTTATTTATTGTTGTAACCTGTTATATGGTGGATTTTTATTACTGAAATTACTTTCTGCAAGTCCAATGCAATGTTTGTTTGGTTATATTGGTAATGTAACTCTATATGGATTCTTCATGAATACATTACTGAGAACTTCAATCAGTGTTCTCTTAAGTTCCTTTTTAATGTTGTTGTAACTCATGCAGATTAGTGATATTTCTGTTGAGGATTACATTACTGCCACTGCTGCCAAGCATCCTACTTATACACCGCACACGGCTGGGAGGTACCAAGCCAAGCGGTTCAGAAAGGCTCAATGCCCAATTGTAGAGAGGTTGACCAACTCACTGATGATGCACGGAAGGAACAACGGGAAGAAGCTGATGGCTGTTCGTATTGTCAAGCATGCTATGGAAATTATCCATCTGTTGACCGACCTTAACCCAATCCAAGTGATTGTTGATGCTGTTATCAACAGGTTTAGAGTTTGTTTTTATTTTTGCATATTTATCAGCTTGACACTTTCTTGCTGAGGCTTCTAGTTTGTTAGAAGATTTTCATACCATGTCTTCTTTGTTCTATTTGAATGTGCACTTAAAATGAAATAGTTTGAGCATTATCATGTTGCAGCATGCTTCAGATATTTTAGTCTTTCTAATTTTTCCTTTTCCATTTTACAACAACCTGTGCAATGCAGTGGACCAAGAGAAGATGCAACTCGTATTGGTTCTGCCGGAGTTGTGAGGCGTCAGGCTGTTGATATTTCTCCACTCCGTCGTGTTAACCAGGCAATATATCTCCTCACAACTGGTGCACGCGAGAGTGCTTTCAGAAACATCAAGACCATTGCAGAATGCCTTGCAGATGAACTCATCAATGCTGCCAAGGGATCTTCCAACAGGTAATCCTCCTACTGCCATCATTTTTAGTCATTAGCTCCTTTTTGAATGCAACTACTCGTCTATGCCTGCTTACTGTTTCTGTGCACATGCAGCTACGCTATCAAGAAGAAGGATGAGATTGAGAGGGTTGCCAAGGCCAATCGTTAAGGGTTCTTTCCGTGCAGTATGGATAATTCCTGTTGGTTGGATAGTTTCATTTTGAGGCGTCTTTTGTTCTGTACTTTTTGTTGTTATTATTAGGAAGGCAATTTGGAACTAATGGATGAGTTTTCCTTTTGTGAAAAACTTGAATAACATTGGTATATGGCAGAAGTAGTGATGTGAAGTTGGATTTTTGCAATAGCAGCTATGCCTAGTCGAAATCTCTGGTTTTTGCATTTGTATTTTGTTCTTTGTCAGTTTTTTGTTCACTCATTGGTAGGCTGTTGAGAAATGTTGTGTGGGCAGTTTTCTCAAATTTAAATTTCACAGTATCTTGCATATGATAGACGGAATCAAGGGAAGTGTACAATGTGTAATTTTTCCTCTGAAATAAAGTTAGGTAATACTAGGTATTGGGGAATCTGAAACTGACTGTACTTCAGCTAACTGGAATCTGATCTTGTTGTAAATGACATTGAAATTAAGCCCTTTAACTTTCTCATTTTTTGCCGTCTTAATCTTTTATTTCTTAAGATATAAAATGTGTTGTTCGTAAAAATGTTTAATTGTGGCGATCTGCTATGATGTTTTTCCTGTCTGTAAGTCCGAATTATAAAGTTAGAGAAGTAAAATCTGGAAACAAGATCTTAGTATTGTTTGGACGTTAAGTATTTGCGCAGAACTTGCAAAATTGTGAAACTGTACATAAATATGATTTATTTTGTCAAACCAGTGTCGCTGAATCATGTTTGAGCCTCCTATTCTTAGTGAATACAAATCTTTTCCAAAAAGAAAACATTGTAATACAGCATCAAAATTATAAGAATTCTAAGATAAAGCAGACACGCCTATTATAGACAAGGTAGTGGACAACCCTTTGGCAAATTATTTTACCACCCCTAAATTCTTGAGCAGCCAATTTAAACTTCTTAAATGGGTGCCAAAGGAGCTCTCCTTTTTCTTTTTCTTTTATTTAATAACTTCGAAGAAGAAAAAAAAAGCTCCTTATTCCTCATGTTTAAGAATTGTCTGTTTTGCCAAGTTGGAAAAATTTGCTTATTTTGAGAAATACGTTGTCCAAAAGTACTTATAAAAAAATACTTTTGGTGGGAAATAATTTGTGTTTGACTAATAAATTTGAAAAGCACTTTTGAGCAACAATTAGTGTTTGACCAAGCTGTTAAAAGGTGTTTCTAAGTATATTTTTCTCAAAAGTACTTTTCAAAAAAGAGCTTCTGGGGAGAAGCTACTTTTTTTTTCTCAAAAACTACTTGTGCTCTATGCAAAAGCACTTTTTTTCCTTAAAAAAGCTTGGCCAAACACCTTTATCTTTGAAGAAAAAAATACTTTTGACAAAAAAAGGGGTTTTGACATAGTTACCCACAAAAACAAAATTGTTACCTTTGTCTACCCATTTGTTTTTCTACCTATAAAATAATTATATTTCCTACCCATAGTAATTTTCGTGGGGAATTTTTTCTTTATTCTCCACTTCGTTTTTATTTCTATGCTTTTTTTTTCTTTTTTTCTTTTCTCCTTTTCTTTTTTCTCGTTTTCTTCTTCTTTTTTTTCTTTTTTTTTTCTTTTCTCATTTCATTTAACTTCTTTTTTTATATTCTTTTTCTCTTCATAATCTAATTTCATTTACTGTTTTCACTATTTTTATTATTCTTTTTTTAATATTATTACTAAAGAAAAATCAAATTGTGTACCAATTAAATGTAGCTAATACAGCCAAAAAATATTAACTAACATATGATACAAGTATAGTATATAGTTATACCAACATGGTATACAATTGTACGCAAATAGTTAAATAAATTTAAATCAATTATTAAACTGAAATTTTATGAGTTGTCAATAAAAATTCTAAATGGATCTAATTGTAAGAGTATATCGTTACATTATATAGCATACTATAATATATATATTTTTTTGCATTTTCAATTTGCCCCTCACGCTGGGTAAAAGCTTAAAGCAAATTAAAAGGGAAAAGGCAAGTGAATTACGGGTAATAAGTATACTATTATAGTATATTGTATACTATTACAACATACTGTTACAGTTTATTGCATATTATTACAGTATACTATAACAATATATTGTATACTATAATTGTATATTTTTGTAGTATAACTATATATTCCTAATGTATATTGTATATTGTAGTGGTATATTGTTAGGTAACTGTATTCTTCTTCGATTACTACAATATACCATTGCAATATATTGTAAACTATAATAGTATACTATTGCAGTATAGCTATATACTCCTATAGCATATTGTATACCGTAGTAGTATACTATTGGGTAGCTATATACTATTCGATTTTCAGCTAAAAATTTCGATCTCAATCACCTTAAATCAGCTCCAAATGCTATCAAATTTCAGTATAAACTTCCAGAAGGTATTATAAGCAATATTTAACATCACCCACTTTAAATCAAACAAGAAATCTTCAAAATAAAAATTTTAAGCCAAGGCAAGAGCAAGAGCTAGAGCTAGGGAAAGAACGATAAAGAAAAAGTGGAGCAGAATTGAAACTGGCCAGAGGTCAACTTCTTAGATAATCAGATCTAATTTCTTTTTGAAGAAGGATATAAGGGAAATGGAAGAACAATTTTGTAAGAATAAATTACAAGTAACTCAAGAAGTAGCAACTAAGGAAATAATTCAAGGATCTGGAGTTACTAAAATTACGACCAAGCCTTATTTTTCTTTCTGAGTCACTTTCATTCTCACTTTACAAAACCCAAACTACCCAAAAATAATAATTCCTCAAACTAACAATAATTCCTCAATTTTGACGAGAATATTTCAGGAAACCATATGGGCAATACTTTTTTTAGCAAAAAATTTAGTATTTCGTTATTAGTTTTCTGAATTTTTTGAGGTGGTGACTGTTGGATCTAATAAAAAGAAGAAGACGGTATTTGAATATGTAGAAGAAACTAAAGAGATAAGGCTGAAAAATACATAAGGGGTTTCAGAGAAAAAGGAAAATAACATGCATTGGGGAATTGCTGATATCAAGAAGAAAGAGAGAAGAGAAGAGAAGAGGCCGCACTCTTTCTGATTTTTCTCAGCTATTTTAATAGAATAAATGAATAATCGGGTAAATAGTTTGGGCCGCATGAGTAGGAGTAGTAAATAGTGTGGGCGTGAGCATTAAAGGGTAAATAGTTTGGAATTAATGGGTATAAAGTGAGATTTTCCCCAAGAAAAAGCACTTTGGCCGAGAAAAAAGCTTGACCAAAGGGCCTATTAGTATCAAAATATGTCTTCTGAAATTAAAAAATAGCCAGATTTACAAGTGGTCATTCAAAAATTACCACGCTTTAAAAAGTAATCGAAATTTAGCCACTTTTCATGTAAAGATAAATCTGAGCGAAAACACTGTTCAAAACCCGGAAAATACGCCAGTATATTATGCTGGAGTTCTAACATAAATATACTTGAACTCCAACATATTATACTGGAGTTCCAGGATAAGTATACTGGACCTCCAGCATAATATGATGGAATTCCAGCATAAGTACACTAGAACTCCAGCGTAATATACTAGAGTTCCAGCAAAATATACAGTCCAATATAATATGCTGGAAGTTCATACACAAGTGCTCGAATCTCCAGTATATTATGCTGGAACTTTTCGAGTGTTGGAGTTCTAGCATAATATGTTGGAAGTTCATACACAAGTGCTCGAATCTCCAGTATATTATGCTGGAACTTTTCGAGTGTTGGAGTTCTAGCATAATATGTTGGAAGTTCATACACAAGTGCACCAAACTCGAGTATATTATGCTGGACTGGTCTCTATTGCAACAAAATAGTGGTTATTTTTCAGTGACTTGGCAAACACTGGCTATTTTTTAATGATCAGTCTGAAAACTGGCCAGCCCTTGCTATTTTTACTCTAATTTTTCATTACACTAGATGCCGTTGGCCCGTGCTAATACGGGCCCAACAATTTGTGTTAATTGTATTATTCGATAAAATTTAACGTAGTGATTAGTCTCTAAATTCAAAAAACAAAAAATCAAATTATGTTTGGACATAAACTTCACTTAATGAGAAATAATTTTCAAACAAATTTTTTATTTTAAATTCTCTATTTCAATGTTCGAAGTATAAATAACGAACCAAAAATTAACACATACATTATTCTGCAAATAATATTTCAAGTTGAAGTTGACAAATTACATGTCCAAATTAACCAAACTTTTAAATATTATTTTGCAACTTCAAGTAAATATTGTCCAAATGCATACTAATAATTACAATGTTTATTATATTATGTAATTGAAAAACAAAGTCAGCACACAAAATGACATGAAGTTACATTAGAATATCAAGATAGTAATTCGTCAAATCAACATTATTAGATAAATAAATGACGCTAACATATGAAATTATAAGTAGCTTTAGTAGTTCAATATTTTTTGTAGGAAGGCGACAAATTATAGTCTGGACAAATGAAGTCTAGGTAAATAACTTTATTATTAAATTACATAGAGATAAACCTTTTAGTGAAACCTTTTTTTCCCCCTAAAATATCGAGTCTTCTGAGTAAAATTTCCCAACATAGCGATTCTGAAAAAAATACCGTTTTAAATCGGGTATGTTTAACCAAAAAGTGGAATTTCGATTAAAGCCTTAATTTAGAAAAACTCGGGTTACTGATAATCAAAGAATGAATAAAGAAAAGTGATTTTGCCAACAATAAGATAAACAGAAGAAAATAAAGCAAACCAATCTATTCAGATAGTATTTCGTGTCCTTACAAATGATCCATTCTCTTCCTTTATAGCTATCTCCAAGTTATACGTTATGCCTTTGTCATAATGTCATTATAGACAATTAAAGGCATTAAATGCTGCGTTACATAATCATTGAGATTCAATACAGATTCCCTAACGTTTTTAGTATTTAATGCTTATTAAATACTGTATCTATACTCTCTTGTGCTGTCAGATTCATCTCTCTTGTGCTGTCAGATTCATTCTCCTTGATTTTTGGATTAAATAGGTACGAGCGTTGAGTCTTCTGAATAACCGCTCGTGTCTCTTCATGTGCCTCTACTCGTATCTGTTGCAACTCGTGCCTCTTTGCCAATCATAACTCTTTGACCAGTCTACGTGTCATGACACGTCATCTTCCAATGACTTTAATATGTAAACTCAATTTTCCCCAATACAGATAGTCCCCCCACTTGCCATT